CAGTTAAACAATACAAATTCAAATTATGCAATTCAAATTCAGGTTTTTAATGCAATTATTCAAGTTGGGCAATTCAGATTCAGCTCTAAATGATTCAAATTCAGTTTCTACTGACACAAATATCAGCCCATACACAGCCCTCAGTTTACATCAACACTATCTAGCAGTTGGGGGTTCAAACACAAAAATCAATGCAGTGTTTTTGAGAATCGATACAATATCAAAAAACGAAATATTGCGATACTCTAGTATAACGATATTTTCTTACACCCCTAGTCATTATTATTGATAACTGAAAGATATGAGGACTTTATTAGGCTACATCAGCTGATATACATTTTTACTTCATAACATAAATAAACAGTATTGATGTAAATCCATTTAATTTATATATCACAGAATCACGTGTACAATTCATGTCAATTTATGTACCACAGGTGGCGATGCACAGTGAAGAACAACTTGTCAGTGCTCTTTTATGCACAAACTATGAAACTGTGACACAGCGTGTATATTTGAACTGTAAGGTCCAAATTAAAAGACCAGTGTATAGGCTTGAGTGGCATCTAGTGGTGCTGCACACCACTTACATTTGTATTTGATCAGGGTTCCCACTATACACTCTTTTTCCAGGAGTTTTTCTTGACAATTCAGGATATCATCATATGATTTATCGGTAGGCCTGATATTGACATAAAGTCTAGTTATGAAGCATGTCAGGTTTTCTTACGATGGCAAAAAGCTTGCAAAAAGAGTCTGTTTCACTCTGCATCTGGCGTGAACAGCTGGATTGACCGACATGGCTGAAATGAAAAAGGAGTGTTTAAAGTGTTCTGCTTCACGTCTGGTTAAGCAACTCAGTAGTGTCATATCTCACAGCTTGTCTGAGTTTCAAACAAAATACATATGTTTGGTTTATGTAGGCGATCTGAGTGAGTCCCTAAATTACAATTAATATGTTCCAGGACAACATAGGTTATTTATTCATTTATTATTTTCAGGATATTTGGTCATTTTAATCACTTTCCAGGTGTTACCATGACTGGAAAAATTGTCTCTAAATCTCCAGGTTTTCCAGGATGCGTGGGAATGAGAACGGTCTGTGAAGTGTATAGGAGAAACAAGGGGGCCGGAAAGGCCCTATCTAGAGCCAGTGTTTGGTTTGCATGTTCTGGGCTACTGTAGAAACATGGCGGACTCTGCCAGAAGAGGACCCGCTCCCTCTGTAGATAAAAACAGCTCATTCTAAGGTAACAAAAACACTGTGATTCCTATTTTCAGGTGATTATACACTAATGAAAACATAGCAAGGAATATTATATTCCATTTCTGACAATAGATCCTCCTAAATGTTACACACTGGAGCTTTAATTATTAGAAGACATATGCCAAATAAATCCAACAAATGAGTCTTTACCCTAAAACTGTAGTGATGGATTGACATCAGTCAAAGTGGTCAGACAGTGTCACCTCCTGCTGACAGATGTATAAAAAAACAAAATATAATGTAAATGAAAGATATAAAACACATTATATTAACAACAGAGCTGCATGGTTTAATCTAAGCATGTCACCTCAACTTTGTGCATGTCCACACACAATAATACACATCCAAACAAGGAGTACTTTACGTGTGAGTGCAGCTGGCGATGCTGACGGGTTTATGGTAGACCTCCAGGCAGATGGGACAGGAGAACTGGCTCTCAATGCCTTCAGCCGGGGCTGCCAGCGAGCCTGAGCCGCTGTTGGGCTGCTGCTGCTGCTGGCGGAGCTGGGTGCTCGCCGAGACAAAGCTCCGAAACATCGCCATCATGGAGCCCGGAGAGGATCTGCAATTGTGGACAACAGCTCGCTGCCCGAGAGAGGAAGCTGTTCAAAATGCGGTTAGCTAGCGCATTAACCGCACAGCTACTTGAATATACTCCGTACTAACATGGCGGCTTTTCAATTTACTTATCATAAAATTATCCTCAATCAACCAAAACATTACTTTTCCGTGGCTGGAGAAGACATGCCGAGGAAGTAAACATTGGGAGCAGTGCTCGTTGGCGGGTGTCTCGCGGTGCTGCGGGGATGACCTGAATAAAAAACACCAATCTGTAATGTCACAAACAGCAGCTAACGCTACATCCAGCTGCTTGTCAGATCAGCGCTGTCGGACACGCGCCAGTGAACGCTCGCGAACAAGACGAGCGGCTACAACAAAAGCTCTCAACGCGCGTTGCTTTCTGGAGCTGGAAGTCCAACTATTCATTTACTTCCAGTACCCTACGGTTGTCTGGAACTGCAATCCCAGAGGCTAGTTCATAAGTGTACACTTGGCGGACCCGGCCAAAAGTCCCGAATAAAAGAGAATAACCTCGCGTTATCATATATTTATGATTGTTCTTAGGGGCGCATCTAGAGGGGTGGCATGGGGTGCCACCACTAAAAAATACATGGCCACCCCAGCTGCCAACCTAGTTTGGTGTTAATTGTTGTCAAATTTAACATACATTTTGATACATTTTGAAAATAATGTGTTAATTGATGATGATCTGTTATGGCCACATTTTAGACTAATTAAATCGAATCTAATTGTAGCTCAGCTAGCTAGTTAGCTGAAGTTCATTGAACTTCATTGAAACGTGTATTTGGAAAAATGTCTGAGGATTTAAAAATTAAAAAAACAATGTATTGATTTATTCAATGTTTCACTAATGTGCCACAATTATTGTAAAAAACGATTTTCATTTTTACTGAAAAAACTTAAAAACGTGACATTTTTGTGTTTTCTTAAATTTGGAAAACAAGATTTGTTTCAGTATAATGCTGTTTGTCACATGTTTTATCTTTTCAAAAATGTGTATTTTGAAAAATGTCTGAAGTTTTGGAAATAAAACAATATACTGATTGATGCCATTATATCCTATGCACTAGCTTTAAAAATGATGGAACTTTTTCCCATAATAACCAATTCTCTGGGATCTATAGATCTTGATAGGGCAATCTCATGTTATTCCATTGTGCAATGCGTGTACATGTCTAAACTAGAATTCTTCAATTCAGAGTATCACTTTAAAATATATTTTAGATATTAAAAGTTGAGTAAGAAACAAAAGGTCTAGACCGTACTCCTTTTAAAATGATTTACAGAGACCCAAAAGTTCTCACCGTGAGCAAGCACTAGGGTGTAGTGTAGGGTAGTGGGGTAGAGGGGATGGGTGGTAAAGAGAGAAGGACAGAGACAGAGACAAAGGTGCACAGCAACAACAATAGCAACAACTATAAAAGTATAATGACTAATGATGATGATGATGATGATGATGATAACGACAACGACAACAAGATAGTGGTGCTGGAGGCCAAGGTAAAACTATCTAGAGTAACTATATTTTAGATAATTTGGTTGACACCATTGACCATTATATTCTATTACAAAGACTTTAGCATCTAATTGGCATTAAAGGAACCGCACTAAGCTGGTTTAAGTCCTATTTATCAGATCGTTTTCAGTTTGTACATGT